GGGGGGAGGCCGGGCGGGGGAGAGGGAGCAGGCCTAGACCTGCAGGGGGCTGGACGGGGCAGGGCAGCCCTGTGCTGGCTTTGAGGACCTGCTTAGCCCTATGGGTTTGCTTCCAGGTCAATGGGAAGCCACAGAAGCAAGGTTTGTGGTAGTGGAATCACGGGGTGTGGTTTGTTTGCCTTTTAGGAAGTTTCCTCCTGCCCGTTTTGTGGGATAATGATGGACGTTGGAGCGGGGCCCAGCGCCAAGAAGGCCAGTTAGGCAAGAACACAGTATCCAGGTAGGAGTGTCAGTGGCCTGGACTCGTGGGAAAGGGAAGGAGAGAACCGGATGGATTCAAAATCTGTTTTGGAAATCAACTTCATGGGAGTTGCAGATGGACTGGATGGGGGGTGGGGGGACTGTAGGGGGGAGGAGGTCTCTGCAGGGGACACCCAGGTTTCTGGCGGGAGCACATGGTAGGTGGCAGTGCCATTTCCTGAGGTGGGGAAACCAGTTTAGGGGCATGCTAGGCTTGAGAAGTCTGCAAATCACAAATTGTCAAGAGAATCTGCTAGGGGCAGCTCCAGAGGCTTTAGCAGCCTCAGAACATCTGACAAAAGCAGTTCGTCCTTCCATCATTAACTAAATCTAAACTGTGAGCTTCAGGGGACCAGGGACCAGCTCTGCTTTGTACTATAGCCCCAGCACCTAGGAAGATGCCTTGCACATAGTAGGTACTCAACAAGAAGCTAGATGAATGAAGCTGGACAACCAGCTGAAGGAACTGGCTCATAGATATGGTGGTGCTTAATATGTAAGGCATTCCCTGACTCCCCTCACCCCCACAGCCAGTCCCTCAATGATTCCTGCAGATTTGACTCTCTCATTGTTTCTCAAAACAGCCCCCCACCCCATCCCTGCTACTGTCCGTGGAGGTAGCTAGTTATTGATATGAGGAAAAAAGCAAAAGGGAACTAAATAATCTTAATAAACTGGGAAGCATTTAACTATATTTACGGTAACCTTTAACTGAGAACCTACTATGTGCCAGGCACTATGCTAGGCCCTTTATGAATAGTATTCTCATTTAACCTTCAAAACAATACAAAAGGGCAGGAAAGCTTTCTCCCTTTACCACTCTCAGCACTACTGCACAGGCCTCCTGTGTGATTTTAGTGCCTTCAGGTACCACCTTCCAATCCATCCTCTGGATTGAGGAAAATAAAAATCTTAACCTTCCCTCCTCCCTTAATCCCCTCTCACCATCTACAGGATTGTGACCCAGCACCTAATTCAGCCACATCTCCTTCGGGGCCTCTTCTGGATCTTTACCTGCGCTTCCCTGAAGCACCCGATGCTATTTCTCTTCTCCAGGCTGTGCCCTCTGCCAAGGTTGCCCTTCCTGCCGCTGGCTCATTCATACTTACCATTTAATGCTCAGCTTTTCATACAGTCTTCCTCGACTCCAATACTTGCTTGGGGGCCCCTCCGGCCACCCCCTCTCCACTCCATGTTGACTTCATCAGTACCTATAATAATCACTTTTTTTTCATATAATAATTTCTCTTTTAATTCCCTGCTCATCAGGTCTAGTGGTTCCTGGTTGAACCCAAACCCAAACCAAAGGGCATGGAGGCCCTGCCATGTCAGGGGTCATTAATCTCTCCCTCCCACAGCACGGAGGAGCCTGGGGACAGAGGCCTGCTTCCCGCCCTCTCAACCCTTAGGGTCTGACACCTCTTGGGGCAGGAAACTCTTCCTTGTCACAGAGCTGAAGGCCTCCCTCCCCCCTCTGCTCCCCACCCCAGACCACTCCCCTCCTTATCCCCCCTGGAGGGTCCCGGTGAAAGCATCCGCCTGTCAGTGTAAATCTGCTGGGTTCAGACCAGCAGCTGGAGATGGATGGGCAGGAAGCAGTAACAATGGATGAAAGACCCTCTGTGCCCAGGTGGGTGGGGGAGGGAGAGGCAGGAAACAGAAGCCTCCCTCCCAGGACGGCCAGGAGAGGCTGGCGGGAGGCCTGGGATGCCAGAACCTGCAGGGTTTATTTGTATTCCCCAAGGATCCAAGCTGGGAGCCCTTCACAAACATCAGATCAGCTCATCTCCATGGGGCGCCAGGTCCAGGATGTGTGTGACAAGAATGTCAGTTTCATACACCACTGTTTGTCCCCAGGACCTAGCACCGGGCCAGCTACACACTAGAGGCTTGTTTGTTGAAGGAAGAAATTCATCTGGCACTACTAATAACTAAAAAATTACAGGTTTATATAGATTTTCTTTTTTTAAAAAATAGAAGGCATCCAGGATGATCCCTTTCTTCCTTCCAAGTTTTTGCATATCCTGTTCCTTCTGCCTGGCATGCTCTTCCCTCTGCCTTTTGCTAAATCAGCATCTTCTCATTCCTCTCTAGCCCAGCAGCCTGCCCATTTCCTTTGGGGCACTTTTTGTAATCAGAAATCCTCTTGCTTAACATGTGCCCTTATTTTTTTACATCCTGTCTCTTCAACCAGAATGTAAGCTCCAAAAGGGCTCCTTGTTCATTGTTGTATCCCCAGAGCCAGTGCTTAGAAGATGCTCCCTAAATGGTTGTTACAGAGAGAGATGAGTGAATGAGTCCCCATAATAATGTCATTCACACCAGATGCCTTGCAGTCTGCTTCCTTGAAAAGAACAAAAAGAGGTCTTGCTCTTGCACTGAGGACTGTAAAGCCCCAACCCGCAGTGAGTGGCTAGATCCCAGGTCAATTGTGACAACTGCAAATCATTGTAGGGCTTTGCTTCCCACGCAAAAATTGTTGAGGTTTATCAGAATCTGGGTGTGCACGGGGTTGGGGGGAGGCCTGTGTTTGGGAATGTCCACTGCCTGTCCAGCANCTGGGTGTGCACGGGGTTGGGGGGAGGCCTGTGTTTGGGAATGTCCACTGCCTGCTGCAGTGAACACTGGGGTGGGCAGGGCTGCTTCCATCAAACGATCCATTTCAAAGATGGGAAAACCAAGGCCCAGAAGTGCCAAGGTCACACACGTATCAATCCAGAGCTTTACCAGCAGAGAGCTCAATAGAGCTGCAGATATGTTAAATCCCGAGATTTGTTCATTCATTTAACAAATACTTATTGAGCACCTGTTATGTGTCTGGCACGGTGCTAGGAACTAAAGATATAACAATGACTAAAGACTCAGAGACTAAAAGGCCCAGCCCGCCTGGCAGGAAGCTCCTTCAGTGACCTTGAAAGCAAGTGCCCGCTTGGCCAGGTGTGAGAGCCAGCCTTAGCAGAGAGAGGGAGAGTTGATCTGGGGCTTGACAGAGAGAATCCGAAATGGAAGAAAGTGTTGACTATGACTAAGAAACCAGCTTAGCTGGGAGTGAAAACCCTGCTTGTGCGCCTACTGTTGCCAGCGGGGGTTGGACTGGAGCCCAGAAATGCAGTGCCTCCAAGTGGAATAATTTGGGCCATCTCAACAGCATGGGACCCAGTCAGCAGAGAAGGCCAAAGGCCACTCATTCACCCTGGAGACTCAGATAGTCACCTGCTCTATGCCAGACCCTGTGCTGAGCCCTAGTTATCAAGGTGAAGGAGACCTAGTCCTCTCCCTAGCCGTGCTCAGTACTGGGGGTGGGATGGGGTGGGGTGCAGACAAGCCCGAGACTCTGGCCACCTGAAGCCAGCATAGATCAGCGAGAAAATCTGCTTGCAGTGCCTTCCCCGACTCCCTCTCTCTCTACACCAGAGATATCAGGGACCATTAAGAACATCATGAGGCCAGACAGACCTGGGTCTGGTCTCAGCTCCACCTTGAAGTCAACGTGTGACTGTAAGCAAGTGACTTAATGTCTCTGAGCCTCAGTTATCCCATATGTAGAATGGGGACAATAACAGTACCTGCTGATGTGGTACTGTGAGAATTGGGTGAAATAAGCTACAAAGTTCTTTGCATACAGGTGCTTAAGAAATGTTAAGCTGCCCGGCCAGGCGTGGCTCAGCAGTTGGGCATCGACCTAGGATCCAGGAGTTTGAGGTTAGGTTCTCGGTCAGGGCACATGCCCAGGTTGCGGGCTCAGTCCCCAGTTGGGAGTGTGCAGGAGGCAGCTGATCAATGGCGACTCATCATTGATGTTTCTCTCTCTCTCTTCCTCTCCCTTCCTCTCTCTGAAATCAATAAAGATATATTTAAAAGAAAAAAAGAAATGTTAAGCCGAAGCTGGCTTCTCTTGTGGGGAGGAACGGTGTGTGGCCTGCTGTCACAATTACCACTGTTTAATCTCACGAGCTCCCCATGCGACAAACGTGTGGAGCTCTGACTCTGTACCAGGCTCAGTGCCGGGCACAGGGAGCAGAAATGAAGAGACTCCGCCCTGACCCAGGAGTTGTCACCGTCCAGGGAGGAGCAGATGGGGTCGAGTACTTGTAACGTTGTTGTAGAGCCTGAGGCACAGCACACAGCCTCTGAGATGGCCTCACTCACACCTCATGATGGTCCTTTACAAGGTGTACGTTGTTATCCCATGTCACCGATGAGCAAACTGAGGCTCAGAGAGACAAATTCACCTGCTCAGGGTCACATAAACTCTGTCTGTATATCTGTCTGTCTGTCTGTCTGGCTCCAGAACCTAAGCTCTGTCCTCACAAGCACCCTGCACACAGCAAATCCTGTTCTCCAAAGTCCTGTGCAAATGTTGGCTCCTTCAGACAGTGAACACGATTGCATCCTGCTGTGCCAAGCCCGTCCTAGGTATAATTCGAGTGGAGGTGAACAGGACGTGACCCCTGCACCCACCTCCAGCCAGTGAAGAGGGAGATCTGTGGCATGCTGGGGCTCTGTCTCCGTGTATTCTTGGTGATACTGGTGGGGAACCCTTTAGTACTGGTCCGGCCTCCCTGCCCCCCATCAAAGTGCCCACAGGCTGCTGGGAAACACTGAGGGAGGGAGGTTGTGACAGCTTTAGGCCCTCAGGGCCACCATGTGCGCTAGGCCTGCCTCTGACTCACCACCCACACCTGGCCTGGCCTCAGGCAGCCACGCTGCTGGAAATAGACACGGGGCAGAGGGCAGGAGACGGGGAGGGCAGGAAGGTGGCACCTGCACGCGTGGCTGCCGTTCCCACCCTCCCTGCCAGGAAGCAGAGAGATGCCATCCAGCAGAGCCCACCCAAAATAGCAGGGTTTGGGGCTGCTCCTGGTAGTTGAACACTCCCAACTGGGAGGTTGTCCCGGGAGCTGTGATGGTTGCAATAAAAATAATGACGATGCCCCGTTTCCCACAAGGCGCGGCAGTCGTTGAACACTCGCTGTTCGC